AAAAAAAAAAAAAAAAAGACCAAAGAGAGAACTCTTTTCTGCTTTCAAAAGTATACTCTTTCCAATTACTAAACTTTCCAGAGGCCAAAGTGAAATAAACATGAGAAACTTATCTACAGCTGTTATATTGTTTTATGCTTTAACATAGTGCACCTCCCTCAAGGTTCACTGCTTTAAACAATGCATAGGTTAGTTACACATAATATAGCAATGAATATTTCAGTGAGCTGGACTAGTCACTTCTCTTCCACAGCTCCTGACACTCACAACAATATAAATTTCCATCTGCCTCCACTTTGATAAGGGAAACAGTTCCCTCCTGCTGGAGCCCTACCATGCCAGATGGAAGAGCTATTTGGAACAAAAAAACCCCATAATATTTGAAAACTAGAACATTAAATGTTAAGTGACCATTTGTACTTTGGAATGGATTTCCGGTGCTTCAGTTGTACACACCAGGAGGAGAAAATCTGATGAAGACACAATTTTCATATTAATAGGGAAAAAATCTTTCCTCAAGACAAAGAAGTTTTAACTGGACTCACACAGCTCCCAGCTTTACTTTGAATGTGCTCTGACACTGTGCCCTTCCCACCTGCTCTTCCATATTCTCCCAGTTCCCCTCACTACTGCCCTGCAGCCTGTGGGTGTCTGACCTTGCTGACTTTCCCATTTTTAATTTATGTCCACCCTCTTTCCTTCATGAATCTTCACACTTTCCTTTTGCAAAAGTAATTCCTTCTCCATTCTGATTCTTATTTTCCTCTCTTTTCCAGGTTCAAGTCAGGATGTAATCATTCAGTCCCTTCTCACTCCTGGAAATGTTCTTTATACCTGCCCAGCAGTCCATCAATGGGTCCATGTCAGGTTTAGATTACAGAACCCCAAATACATGAATATAAATCAAGTCACCAAGGCAAGAACAATTTGTTATCAAAGAAATCATCTGCCCCAGCCTGTATGGTGCTTTAGGAGGCTGTAAAGTCAGCATACTGTAATTGCTTTGGGCAATGTAAAAGGAGGACATGCATCCTTGTAGACTAGGAATCCTCCTATAATCTACTTCAGTTCAGATTCATGGGCCCTCCACACCTCAGCACAGACCTGCCTTCCCCTGTGCTGCACCCACACCATTACTGCTCATGGATGTGAGACCATCTGTTGTTGTGGCATTTGTCACAGCAGCAACAGTGATGGGCATGAGAAGAAAAGTTTTCCTGAAAAATCAGAAACTTAAAAAAGTAGGGGCAAGCCATGCTCAGGGCCAACCTATAATTTTCACATCATAGGCATTAGAAACCAGATTTTTCTGAATCTGAAAATCACCCTGAAGTCACTCTGGAAGCAAAAAGAGCTCACATGGAAAGCTGGTGTTGATTAGAACTATGCTAAATCAACAGAGCACCTTATCAAGTTAAAGGACATGGCAAAATAGGGAACTGGTCTCAGATAGCAAAGTTGAAAGCTTAGTTGCAGGAGTAAATCGCTATAAACCCTACTTTTCATGTATATGCCTGAGCTAGGACAGTTGTCATTGGATTAACAGCAGAGCTTGCTGTCTTGTGCTGTTACCTCAGTGCAAGAGTAGACCCCAATCTGTAGCTGGACTAATGTTTTCCAAGCTGTCCAGCAATGCAACTCTGTTTGCTCTTCCTCAGGGGAGCTGCAATTCAGCTCCCAGCATTGAACTGTCTCCCCAGTCTGCTAAAGACTGAACCTGTGGGGGATATGGCAGACTTAGTCTGGGTTAACACTAACTTGTCTCTTCAGGAGGTAGAAGTGATAACTGCTTTGGAAAGTTGAATTTAATTCTATATGAAGAAAGAAATATTAGTATTGACATCAAAACTGTGTGGTAGCAGAAGTCTTCAGGAGAAAGCAAAGGATGACTGCCTAAAAATGTCCCTTTCTGAATGAGCAGCCCTTACCTTCTGAAACAGAGAGCTCAGCCAGTTTGTGTGGCAGGTCTGAAGTCCCAGCACCAGCAGGAGAGCCCAGGATATCTGGTAAGGCGTTCCGTCGGCCTGCCCGTCCTGATGCTGCAAAATCTGTCACCACAGGCTCCACATCAGTCATTGCTGACTCCTTTCCTCATAGCAACATCTGTATGTGGAACAAACAGAAGAAGAAAACAGCTGTAGTTCCATGGATGCTAATCACCTGCTCAACGATACAACAGCCAGAGGCTTTGCCCAATGGTTCTTTCGTTATTGAAAGCCATAAGTTTCAATACAGAGTGCTTAAGCTTTATTTGTGTCCTAGAAGAAGATAAAACAAAGTCTGTGCATTTCCTTGCGGTGCCATCTGCACATCAGACTAGCACAGCTAACAACTCTCTACCTACAAGAAACCTGTGAATAGGGTCAGCAACAGCCCTATCTGCCAGCCATCTGTAGATCTTTTTATGACCTGTTCCCTCTTTTTAAGTGGTTTTGCCATACCACTACTTGGAAGGGAACTGAAACTCTGTTGTCATACAGTCTGACATAAAGCATGTTTTCTTTATTATGAATTTTGTTCAGATTCTTATTTAGAATCTTGTTAGAAAAAACTCATTTAACACAGCAGCAAATTAACCCACAAAAAAAACCCTTTCAAAAACCAAACTGAGACTCTTCATAAAATTTCTTTATCCTGCAGATATCAAACCACATGTTTTCCTCTGCTCCTTATTAGCCTGGTTTGACCTCCACTTGTGCATGTGACTTTTATCTAATAAATAATTCAATCCTGGAAATAATAGAACCAACAGTGCTCGCTCCCTCAATCCCTGTCTCAAAATCCATTGAACTGAATGGGGAAACTGCTGACCAAAATGGGCTTTGGATCAGCCAGGACCACACTCCAGGCAACAGATTAAGCAACACCAGAGCAGAAGAAGGTGATACTTAGCTGCAAGTGGCACACAGGGATAGTGTGTGAAAACTGCCATTAGTAAAAGACAATCATACCAGAATTTACACAATAAATTCTGAAAATTTCTAATAATTTCTAATATTCTAATAATTTCTAATAATTTCTAATAATTAGGTATCCATTACTCAATTAAAAAGAACAGTTACTTGCAATTCTCTGTGCAATGTGAGAACAGGAATGTTGTCTCTGTGTAAATATGGTTGGTGCTTTGTGTGGGAAGGGATACAGATGGGGCTGGAGATCAATCTGATGGAAAGCTATTAGCTTTTGTTTGACAGCTGCTGGATTTAGAATAAGAATTGGATAAGGAAAGTCTCAATCATGTTAGTGTTTTTCATAGTTCCCTTTCTAAAATTCTGCTAAAGTTGGGAAATATTAGTGGGTTTATTTCATGGATACAAAACCTCAGTATAAATAGAGATCAAACATGACTTGCTATGATGTGCAGGAAAGAAGGGGCAGAAATTGGATTATTTATGCTGACCTGGCATTTCCACCACAAACATTTTCTCCCTCAAAGTGCCTTTCAGCTTTCAGCTGTGTCACTTCAAAACCAAGAATAAATATTCTTAATCTTATTTGTATCACTAAATACTTTATAATAAAAGAAATGAATCCTTGGCAAGAAATGAAGGCACAAGTAAAATCTGGGAGTCTGAAAGATGACCTGAATGTGCAAGAAAACCACTTCCTCTAACCAAACTCAGTAACTGAAAGTTCTGACCTGGAGATTAAGTAGAGGTTTCCTGTCCTGCATGAAAACAGGTCAAGTCCCAATCAATCTTTTCCATAAGTGACAAAATTATATAAGTATAAAAACTATACATGGACACTCAAGAATGCAACTTGAGAAAATACATAGAAGTATGTGCATCAACATTCTCTCATCAGCACAAAGATCTACAGAATGACATAAATATCAAAACACACCGAAGACTTTCTCAAGCCTGCCTTGTGGGCTTTTTTCCACTCTTTCATCTCCTGCATGGATGCTTTGGTCCCAAAATGGTTACTTTTTAAATGGAGAAAATTTGCTCTACAACTCATGCTGTATGAAAACTACTCTTTCCTGCAGTACAGTTTCACCTTTTCCATCTTGTGCACTTGTTTCAAATCCCTCCCTTTCCTCTCCAGCACATCTCTTTCTCCTCTGATGCAATCTCCCTTCATTGCATAATACTAGCCAACCCAAGAAGATGATGAAGGACACATGAATTTTGATTTATGCACTTGATTAAAAAAGTCTGCACGGACAAATCTAGAACATCTGTCAGACAGAAAATCAGCTGATCATTATCCATCCATCTGGCGCCCGTAACTCAAACGTAGCTATCTAAAAATAATAAAAGTACACCAACCTTTATATACGTAGCAGTTATCATTATGTTTTCACCTTTGTTTTTTCTATACTTACACTGTGTATACGTACACTAGCACAGGATGTTCTCTAAGTATATTTCAAAGATGAAGGATTTCCCCAGTAGGCTTAGAACAGATATTAAAAACTTAAGTCCATTTAGCTCCATATAAATCAAAAGTTAAGGTCACCTCCAAATATATGATAGACATTATTCAAAACAAGTTGCTTCCGTACTTGATCTATCAAGCATTCGAGTAAGCATCCTCAGACAAAAAAAATGGCAAGTAAACTACCGGTAGCATTTTCTCTGAGAGAGGACTAGTTTGTTAATCTTAGAATCTTCTTGTGTTGGCAACATAGCCAGCCCCTTGGGGGAAAATGAGTCACAGAAGCTGGTGAAAATTTATTTAAATAAATGACAAAGGAAAAGAACAAATAAGTCTCCTAAAACAACTTGTGCTGAGGATCAAAGGAAATAATGCTTCATGGTGCTCAGTTGTAGCAGGTGCCACAGTCCATATTAAATGTCAATGCTGCCTCTTCCTCATTCTTATCTGTTAAGAAGTTGATAAATCCATGGTAAGTATTTGTGAAAGCTGGTTTTTTTCCTGATCTTTCTACTAACACAGACAAAATACTGGTTTTGTTCTGCTTGGAAGGACAAACTACTCCTCAGGAAATGTCAAAAGGTTCTTGATATTGGTATTGTGGCAACTCCGCACAGGAGACTGAAAGACCAAACACATCACTCCTTGCCACTCAGGCACTTGTCAAAAACCTTTCTCTTAGGTCCTATGAATAGTCTCTGCCTATGCTATCAGAGAAAGCTACACTTCCAAAACACTGTTCCTTTTGAATGCCCCTTAGTAGGAACAAACTGGAAAGCATGAATTCCTCTCACAAACAGATGACAAATGCAATAGCCAAGTAGGACTTTCAGAGCCAGATTGACTGATTCTGTCTCGGGGGTCTCTTACTGCAAGATGAATTTTAGCATCTTACTATATTCAGAAAGAACTTGAGTCCTTTCAGTGGTGTTTGGTTTGGTTTTATTTACTTGTAAGTAGTAAGAGGTCTCTAAGCACCTTTACCCTCAAAGCCTACAGGTTCAAAACTTTCTAAGGAAGGAGAACAGAAAACTTATTGAATTAAGTACTTCCCACTGTGCAACTGAGATGAAAACCACATCTCCTTGCTATGCAGTTGCCACACTTTCACATCCACTTCTGCTACAGCTGCATCCTGACGGCTTTGCCTCCTCTTCCCAAAGGTCTCAGAATAGGAACATTCTCATTATATGTGCTCACATAATCTTTATGCTTTATCCTGAGACATTTCTGGACCATAGAAAAGTTAAAAAGCAACCCCTAGGAGCATCCATGCTTTTAAGGAAGACAGCCTAGAGATTAATATGGTGACTAACAGTAACCTGGGCACTTGTATAACAAATTTTGTGAGAAAAATTCCTCTTATGTGTTTTTTCACATCAGTAACATTTGTAACACATGGGGAACCCTAGCACTGGGAAGCACACGGAAAGAAAAACAAGTGGTCTTTATCATACATATGTCAAACACAGGGGTCTCGATTCTGTTTGGGGCTTAGGACAAGAGACCACACATTTCTTAATACACTGAAGAAATATAGCCAACTATATGAATGTTACAAGTGATTCAGTAAGGAAAAACAAGTAGATTTGTTAGCTTTCAGGCTTTTTAATACACCACAAAAGTTGAAACAAGAGTTCCTTTTATTATTACATGTTAGAAAGATGATTTGGGTTTCCTGTACCAACAGAGCTGGCCTTTCTAGTGCATGTTCTCTAAAAAATTCATGAGCTGTTTTCCCATACAGGGAAACAAAATTATATCCCATCTCAGTAAACCTACAGTGCAGAAAAGGTCTGAGTCCTACATCTGTCTCAGTCTGGATGTTACAGCCCATATAAGACATGATTTTGGGGATGATATTTGAAAGTCTGGTTTATGTATAACAGGTTTTCACTTTCGGTTCTACACAGCTGGACAGATTTTTAACACAAGTGTCTTTTGTGTTACTTCTGCTCTGGATATGTGACTTGCTCTGCACTCTTGCACCAGAAGCACCATTCTTATTGATAATGTAAAAAAATGGCTTCCATACATGATTTTCCTAATACCAAACTGGTCAGCCTCGAATATCATGATTACACCATTCCTCCATTTCCTGCCTTAGTGCTCTCAGAAGCTCTGAATGAAAGTCATGATCCTGTTGTTCAGATGCTCATCATTTTGGGGCACAGAATCTGATAACCTTGGCCAAAGCCATAGGACTTTTTTTTCTTCAGAATGGTACTTTGAAACTTTCTGTTTAATTTTCTATACACTTCCATAAAGGCAATATTATACTCATGGGAAAGACAAGAGAAACAAAAGCCACATAACTTATTAGTCATGCTCCTTTTGTGCTTCTGGAGAATGCACAGGATAGTGTGGTTCATCCTCTACAAACCTGTACAGAATAGAAAGCTTTGCTGTGAGCTGTGTTTGACCCTGAGTACACACAGTACTCTGATGCACAGGAGAACACATTATCAAACTAATAGCAGTTCTAAGTAATGGCACAATTTTCCCCTTGTGAAAGAAAATAAGGGAGAGAGAAGAGGTCATGATACTGACAACTGAATCAGAAGTTTTCTGCAGCAAGTAATAAATGAAGTGACATTAGCTGAAGGCAGTCAATACCAGGCAAGCAAGATGTCACTTTTCCAATGTCTGTGAGTGACCAAGAGCCATGACAGACATGAACGACTTCACAGAAAACACAATTCTACTCTAACTCATTAGCTATGCT